AAACGACTTCTGGTCACCCTAACATAAACACTATTAACTAAAAGGATGATAAAATCCACACAGATGAAAACAGAAATGGAGCTAAAACGATAATATTAGATTCTCCTTTGTTGTGTCAATAGTCAAAATCCACACTAAAATAAATATGTCCACCCAGCTCCTGTAAACCACTGTACCTGGTATCATGTATCCAATTTAGCAGTCTTTTCTGTTGTAGAAGAGGGGCTTTTTTTTTCTTGTTCATGTCAATATGTACAGAAAAACAGGTGTGGGTGGACAAGGAAAGTGTAAAACTCATCAAATAATACAGCACTCTTTGGGGTTCTGCCTCTCTGATTGTTCAGGTAACAGGGCCTATGAAGGCTGTGTACTTAAAAAAAAAAACCCCACTAAAGACAAGGATTAATATTTATTTTTATTTTTATAAAACGGTATACTTTGTTAAATAATTTCCTCAGCACTCTTGAAAGCAAAGGAGACCTAGCGCTCAATAGATTACAGGTGCTGGTCATAAAATTAGAATATCATGAAAAAGTAGATTGATTTCAGTAATTCCATTTAAAAAGTGAAACTTGTATATTATATTCATACATTAGATACAAACTCATATATTTCAGATGTTTATTTTGTTTAATTTTGATGATTACAAATGACAACAAATGAAAATCTCAAATTCATCATATCAGAAAATTAGAATATTGTGAAAAGGTTCAAAATTGATGGCCCCTGGTGCCACACTCTAATCAGCTAATTAACTCAAACCACCTGCAAAAGCCTTTAAATGGTCTTTCAGTCTAGTTCTATAGGCTACACAATCATGGGGAAGACTGCTGACTTGACAGTTGTCCAAAAGACGACCATCGACACCTTGCACAAGGAGGGCAAGACACAAAAGGTCATCGCTAAAGAGGCTGGCTGTTCACAGAGCTCAGTGTCCAAGCACATTAATAGAGAGGCGAAGGGAAGGAAAAGATGTGGTCGAAAAAAGTGTACAAGCAAGAGAGATAACCGCACCCTGGAGAGGATTGTGAAACAAAACCCATTCAAAAATGTGGGGGAGATTCACAAAGAGTGGACTGCAGCTGGAGTGAGTGCTTCAAGAACCACCACACACAGACGTATGAAAGACATGGGTTTCTGCTGTCGCATTCCTTGTGTCAAGCCACTCTTGAACCACAGACAGCGTCAGAAGCGTCTTGCCTGGGCTAAAGAGAAACAGGACTGGACTGCTGGTGAGTGGTCCAAAGTCATGTTCTCTGATGAAAGTAAATTTTGCATTTCCTTTGGAAATCAAGGTCCCAGAGTCTGGAGGAAAAGAAGAGAGGCACTTCATCCACGTTGCTTGAAGTCCAGTGTAAAGTTTCCACAGTCAGTGATGGTTTGGGGTGCCATGTCATCTGCTGGTGTTGGTCCATTGTGTTTTCTGAGGTCCAGGGTCAACGCAGCCACATACCAGGAAGTTTTAGAGCACTTCATGCTTCCTGCAGCTGACCAACTTTTTGGAGATGCAGATTTCATTTTCCAACAGGACTTGGCACCTGCACACAGTGCCAAAGCTACCAGTACCTGGTTGAAGGACCATGGTATCCCTGTTCTTAATTGGCCAGCAAACTCTCCTGACCTTAACCCCATAGAAAATCTATGGGGTATTGTGAAGAAGAAGATGCAATACACCAGACCCAACAATTCAGAAGAGCTAAAAGCCACTATTAGAGCAACCTGGGCTATCATAACACCTGAGCAGTGCCACAGACTGATCGACTCCATGCCACGCCGCATTGCTGCAGTAATACAGGCCAAAGGAGGCCCAACTAAATACTGAGTGCTGTACATGCTCATACTTTTCATGTTCATACTTTTCAGTTGGCCAACATTTCTATAAATCCTTTGTTTTTATTGGTCTTCAGTAATATTCTAATTTTCTGATATGATGAATTTGAGATTTTCATTTGTTGTCATTTGTAATCATCAAAATTAAACAAAATAAACATCTGAAATATATGAGTTTGTATGTAATGTATGAATATAATATACAAGTTTCACTTTTTAAATGGAATTACTGAAATCAATCTACTTTTTCATGATATTCTAATTTTATGACCAGCACCTGTATATCCCCAAGGCGTTGTCACCCCTGAGAAACTGAAAGTTTAAAAGAGTCTTATTTTTCATTCACCACAACAAGTTGGCAATTTAGCTCTGCAACGTGCCTTTTCACTTTCATTTTTGCTGAAATGATACTACCTAGAGCCTTTTCCTTTCACAGGAAAAGCAATATTTAGTGTCATCTATAGCTGTTTAAGAAAAACTATAAATTTTTGTGTCATTTGGCATATTGTGAATTGCAGACGGTGTTTGTATCCCTTAAATATTTTGATTTAATAATTTAACTTTTATTTATCTTACATTGGAGAAATTTACCCTTGCTTTTAACCCATCTACTTGGGGAGCAGTTGGCTGCCATTATGCGGGGCCCGGGGAGGAGTTTGGGGTTAAAGGTCCTGCTCAAAGACCCAGAGTGGCAGTCTATCAGAACCTCAGGATTCCAGGCTCTATGCCCTAACCACTAGGCTGCCACTTCCCTAAAATATGTATTAACTGCACATGATAAAGTAAAAAGGCTGATAATAGTTTATAATCAGAGGATCAATTATAAGCTTCTTTCTAATTTTAATTAAAACATACAGCATAAGCAGTGTACACATGTGAGTATTGCATGTTTAATGTATTGCAGTTATATTTCAGAACACACTGTAACAAACCTAAATCTAATCTAATCTATTTTATTATGTGAGTCAATAATATTTTCAGATAAATTAACTTACACACTTTTGCCCTTATTAAACTAATCAGATTTTTTTTTCTGATTAATACCTAATTAAATGTTTTTTTTTCTATTTTAAATGTAAAGAGTATAAGCTTAAATCAAGAAAAAAAATAACTAAAACGAACTTATATTTCAATTATGGTGGTTTGCTGTTCCTCTCTCAAATAACCCTGGAGAAACCCCCCATGCAACCCTACAAAGACGTATAGAAAACAGCGAATTGTATATTGAAACGGGAGGGAAATAAACATACACCTTAACCTGACAAATTCTCATGGAGTGGGAACTGTTACTTGCTAAAGTCTCATCACTTATTTTTTGTGTTTATTTAAACATGCTTATGGGTTCTTTGGGAATAAGCCTTTGTATTGTGCTGCTCAGAAGGTCATCTGCAAGAGCTGGTTTCTGCAGCTGCAAGACACAAAGATAAGACAGTTCACAGTCTGTTATGTAAACATTTCACTAGTGCTTGGGTATGGAAGACCTGTAATAAATCAAAAGGTCTGATCCAGATACTCTGTGTTGCCCAGCAGAGTGGTTTTCCTTAAAGGAGAAGTTCGGTTTTTTACACTTTAAGCCCATTTTCTGTAGTGTCCAGGATGAAATCGAATGATCGACACCAAAAGTTTGACAATTGCTCCTGTCTCTGCTTTTTGGCTCATTTAGAATCACCCCCTGGCTGCTTTAGAATGGCTTGCATAGAGCATGTCCGATAATGTCCTTAAAACAACCTTAAACGTTTTTTTTTTTAAATATGCTACTCACCGGGTCGTCAGCGCTGTTCAATGACGTTCCAAAAAAAGTTTCGTAAAGAAAAAACGTTCCTGTAGTGTTTTATTTAGCATTTTGTAAATCCCATTGAGTTCTGTAGGAATAGTCAATATTCCGCTGCCACCGGAAACGGAAATGGGGCCTGTTTACACAGTTGTAGTCTTTTTGCTTCACTCTGTGTACTCCGACGTCGAGGTGCTAACGTCTCTGTTAAACACTTTAAAAAACTCTGAAAATGGAATACGAAAGGTGGATTCTTGATTCTCGACGTCGGAGTACACAGAGTGAAGCGAAAAGACTACAACTGTGTAAACAGGCTCCATTTCCGTTTCCGGTGGCAGCGGAATATTGACTATTCCAACAGAACTCAATGGGATTTACAAAATGCTAAATAAAACACTACAGGAACGTTTTTTCTTTACGAAACTTTTTTTGGAACGTCATTGAACAGCGCTGACGACCCGGTGAGTAGCATATTTTAAAAAAAGAACGTTTAAGGTTGTTTTAAGGACATTATCGGACATGCTCTATGCAAGCCATTCTAAAGCAGCCAGGGGGTGATTCTAAATGAGCCAAAAAGCAGAGACAGGAGCAATTGTCAAACTTTTGGTGTCGATCATTCGATTTCATCCTGGACACTACAGAAAATGGGCTTAAAGTGTAAAAAACCGAACTTCTCCTTTAAATATTAGATAATCCTTTCTTTTGTACACAGTAATAAATCCACTCATCTTTTCAATGACATGCCCCAACATAAAAATACAGTAGGAATGATACAAATGCTCTCATTAATCAACTTTGAATTGCACAAAACATAAAATCCACCTATTTAAAGCAACACTGTAAGTTTTGACCCATCAATATATTTATATCAAATTATTCTTTTTCAGGTCAAGGTACAGGTCTATAGCAGTTGTGCTTTGTGCGGGTTGCCCTCAGAAAGTTAATGCAAAAATTATGTAACTTGAGAAGATCAGATCCCTCGCTGAATGATTCATTCAGCCCACAGTAACACTTTATGGCAGTTATGGAGCTCCCCTAAACATCAGGGCTAATTAAGCTACAAGTTCTTTTTAGGCATCAAAACAGGTATGATACTGAGCTAATCAGATAATATGGTTCTCTGATGTAGGATTTAAATATAGAGTTGTGAAAGGGGCTTTCAATTTACAAGTAACTCCATGACTTCCCAACCTGCTGGTCCAAACTGGTCGGCTTTAAAATGAGGGGGACGGTTTCATTTTGTGAACGAGCAGTGTCACCATTGGCCTTCAAGAATGCAAACATGGAGGTTACAGGTAAAACACACCCAGTGGCTCAAAGTTGAATAATTTTATTCTAAATATTATTCTAAGAAAACCTTTTTACTACAAGTATCATTAAAAAACAGGGAACTAAGGTTTTAAAACATTGTTTATTTGGTGCATTAATAATGTCAACAGGATTGTAGATACATATTCAGATACATATTTATAGCTTTTTTATTTTTATATAAAAAAATGATTATATCAACACTGTTATGTCATAATTATAACATCCACCGTTAGGAATGATATTCTTTGAGACTGTCAACCTAGGGTAGGCATTGTCAGTAGTCATTTAAAAGTTTTAGAAAACATAAAAATTACCACATCTAGATTTAAGGCAAAAGTGTAACCTACTGGATTTTTGTTTTTTTTCTGCAATCTAAAACAGTTCAAAAAGTGTTAAAATAATGAGAAGAATTAAAAGAAAAAAAAATTTGAATTTGAATACAAATACAGGACGGAGAAATGAGACATCACGTGGCACTTAATGGCTTAGGCATATCATAATTCATCCCTCTGATTCCCATCAAGGCAGTTAATTATCTGGTCATTTTCCTTAAGAAGTACTTCAAGAGCCTCTATTTCTATATCGAGTTTAGAATTTTCTGTGGCGACATAAGTTTTTAGTTTGTCAAGTAACTCCTTTGTCTGCTTTATTTGTTCAGGAAATTCTTCCCTATACATCATTGGTTCCACAATGTTCATGTAGGAACGAATCCTGTCTGAAATGATGTCGACGAACGTCTTCCGGTCATTCTAAGGGAAAAAGATAAAACCTCTTTATTATATTAAAACATAGTTTTTCTTAAAGCCCTTATCATTATTAAAATCCTAATAGCTTCAGTTCCATCTCATCTAAAATGAACAAAGCCTGGAATCTTAAAGATTCTGCATCACAACAGGAAATCAGGTTAAAAGTTTCAAATTACTTTGAATTTGTGTTCCTAAAAACAAACCAAAAAACATTAGCAGTAAAGTTAAAAATCTTGTTTTATAAATGTTATTATATGGACTGAATGATACAATTTCATTTTTTCAAACTTGTTTCAGTTTAAATCGATTTTGATAAAAAAAGAGAAACTTACACAGAGCTGGCAACCAATGTAACGTCACTTTGTTTACCTTCAGTTTCTCATACCTTTCCTTTGCCAATTGATGGCTTTCCTTCACCTTTGTCTGAAAGTGAAATAATATTTGCATTTATTCTCCTTTACTTACATGAATACATATAACTGCTGTATCCACAATAATGTCAAAAGTCCTGAAAATGTATCCACCATTGTTACCATAATCTTACCAGCAAGTCTGTTTCAAACATGGCGCATCCGAAGCAGACCAGGCTGAGCAGAGTATAAATGAGAATGCCTTTTGAGGTTCTGACACTGGTAACTGCTGCCATTACTGAAAATATGTAAGTTTAGGTGAACATACCCATTTTAGCTGTAGACATTTGAAAATGAAATGGAAATAGTTAATTGCTTACCTGAAATGTAGAGAAGGTAGGAAAAGAACAAACCAGATGGGGAGAAACTTAACAGTGAGTTTTTTTGTTTGTACAGCGGATGTATCCTCCCCAAATGGGTTGTCTGAGATGTGTGGGTGGGTGTAACTGCCACTCTCTGTTCTCTGCTGGGAAACAATATGATGTCTGTAGAGTTCCATTTGAAAAGAAATGTTTTCTGCAGTTTCAGTTTTAAATTTAGATCAATGACCAGGCAAGTTACATGATACATACACTTAAATACTAAACAGCTATAAAAGCAATAACTTATCAGTTTTTTTTCTTTGATTTGAATGGCTTGAAATAGGTTTACATTTTCTCATGGCATCCCATAAATTGGCAAAAATCTAAACCAAGAGAAAATCTGCTGTTTCACAAGAAGTGAAGCCCAGTTGGAATAGATTAGCTTTGTCTATTACCCATTGGTTACGATAAAGTGGGCAGGCCTTCCGTAGGTCTGACAGCTGTTTTCTAATGATAAAAATAACATAACTGCTATAACTAAATAACTGCTAATTTTATGATCACCACAGTAACACTGATACACAATGTCCTTGGTTATGAAACTTGATTACAATTTAAATTACTTGAAGAAGGCAAAGTGGTTAGTGTCGTGGATGTCCTCCGAACGACATATTAATTTGTGCTAAGCCTCTCAAAAATTCGAAGTTCTTGAAAAAGCAGTTGAAAAATCACCAACAGTGGTCAAAAAGAAGCAGAGGCAGCTGGGTCACGGTCCAGTATGGTTTATTGCAATAATACAAGTCCACCACACATGAGAGGTTCACCGGTCAACATCTGACAAGATAGTGACATTGGTCTGCTTATATACATTCCCTGGGGCTTAGGGGCTCCTCCCCGAGCCCCTCCTATTTTTACGTCATTTTAGGTACTTTTTCCAAGGATATCTCTGTTATTTTTTACATACCGGTGGAAACCTTCCCAGGATGCGTATTTTTTTAAAACATGTAAAAATGGCTGTATTTTATTTACCTTATTCTGTTACCCTCTATTACCAATTCGACTCAGTACCATGGTGACACATGTCTTGATTACATTAACCCCTTGGTGATGCATATCTGAGTTACATTAGTTCTCATTGACTTCTTGGTAATCACATTGGTAATTACATTAGCCCGTGGTGATACATACATTAACGTCGTGATGATACATGTCTGGTTCGCCATAACTACATCAACTTCTATATTTGGCTTGTTTTTCTACTGCCATGCTTAGTGTACATTGACCCTTTAGAATAGCTGGACCTTTTTATTCACACACCTTTTATCTATTGTGACAAGAATACATTCTTTGTGACACATCAATCTACTACATTCTATTCATGGTGCAATATTAATCCACTACATTAGGATTTGTTCAGCTGTGTTAAAAATGACAAAAAACTAAAATTTTTACTTCGTAGAAAAAAAACAGATGGATTTATGTTTCATAAATTTGGTATAAACCAGGGGTCGGGAACCTTTTTGACTCAGAGAGCCATGACAGCAAAATATCTGGAAATTTATTTCAGTGACAGCCATATAACATATTTTAAGACTGAATTCAACTAAATGCGAGTATAATAAGCCTCTCAACTTATTTTTTAAATAATGTCGTTATAATACTCACCATTAATGCGACTTCTGGTGCTGCATGCATGGATTTGCTGATGGCTTTGTAGTCCGGTTGGTACTTGGTAAGGTTAAGCTTCATGCAAGCACTGAGGCTTTCATCCGTTAAACATGATCGTAGGCTGGACTTGATGTTGTTAAGATGTGAGAATGATTGCTCACATGCATACGTAGATCCAAACATGGTCAATACAGCAATACTCACACGCTGCAGTGTGTGGTATGTGACAGGAAGCGCGTTCGAAGTTTTGATAATCAGCTGGTCTTCGTGTTGAAGTTTTTTCATTTCTTCCCACATGTGCTTGCTCGCCAACTCTGCTTTTTGTCTTGCAATTCTTTCCAAATCTTCATTCAGTGACTTGAACTTATTCACCCACATGTCTGAAGCCTTCAAGTCAGCCACTTCTGCTTCAAAATCTCTGACGGAGACACCAGGAATGTAACTCAGGTCGGCTGTGTTCAGTGAAGACTTGTTTGGATGGGTGAGGAACTTGAAAAGACGAGTGTGCTCACGAAATTCTCCAAAGCGTGTTTTGAACGACTCAGATATTCAGTCATATCCACGAGATAGTAAAACTTGAGGAGCCACTCATTTTCGGCTAGCTCAGGATGCTCAATGCCTTTCATCGCAAGGAAAGTCCCAATTTCGTCCAGGCAAGCCGCAAAACGGCAAAGCACCTTCCCTCTTGACAACCAACGCACATTGCTGTGCAAAACCAGACCATGATAGTTATTTCCAACTTCATCCAGCAGTGTTTTAAACTGGCGATCATTTAGGGCTCGGGCCACAATAAAGTTGATCACACGAATGACCAGCGACATCACTTCGCCAAGCTGCCCGTCACACATCTGAGCACAAAGTGCCTCCTGGTGTAGAATGCAATGGAAACTTAGGATGGGTCTATTTTCATGTTCACGGAGAAGCGCCACAAATCCTTTGTTTTTTCCCCACATACACGGCGCACCATCAGTACAAACTGAGAGAAGTTTATCCATAGGTAGATTTTTTCTTTGAGCGAACTCCATGAAAGACTTGAATAAATCCTCACCTCTTGTGGATCCTTTTATTGGCAGAACAGCAAGACTTTCTTCGCGCAGTGTGTCACCAGCAGCATATCTTGCAATCACACTGAACTGTGACAAATGGCTTGCGTCTGTTGACTCGTCCAAAGCCAGGGAAAAAAACAGCGCTGCATTTATGTCCTTCACCTGTGTTTCCTCCACTTGGTTTGCCATCATAATGGTGCAATCATGAACAGTTCTTGCCGACAGAGGCATGTCTTTTATCCGTTTGATTATCTTGTCTTTGTTCGGAAGATCATCAAAAAGTTCATTGGCTACATCCAGCATGAACGTTTTAGCATACTCGCCATCTGTGAATGGTTTTCCGTTCCTCACTATTGCTAAAGATCCAGCAAAGCTAGCGGAATAATAATCACCTTGTCGGGTCCATACGCGGAGCTGCTGCTGGCTAGCCTAGTTCCTGTCCACAGAGTACTTACTTGTGGCCACAATAGGAGCACTTTTACCGTTTTAAAATCCTTTAAGGATTTAGCCTTACCCCCTTTCTTTAATTCCTTTTTTAAAAAGTGCCCTTTAGATTCCTAAGTCGTGCATTTTTCCCTCTACATAAATTTTTAAATCAGCGACTAAATTTTATTTCACAAACACCTGCTGAGTGTACCTTTATGGTTTTTAGTGATTACTGATACCACAGAATCTACTCCAGCTTTAGGGGGGGGGTTCTCTGGGTTAACAATGCATTACCAATGCTCTATTTCATATAGGCCTTATCCTTTAAGGCTATCAGTAGTGAACAAAAGGCAGAGGAGTGTTGAGTCTATATGTGTCCATTCAGAGACAAATCATTTGTTTGTGATCTTTAAATCTTTAGAGTCAGCCTCCAGGGATGCCCTGCCCAACCAACTAACAAGAAGGAGAAATAATCACTGGTCATGTTAGAGGATCTCATTATACACCTGCTGTATGAATAGCAGAGCAGAAACAAATTCATATAATTCAGTAGCTGGATCAGCATAGCTACAGAGTATAACAAGTCCTGCATGGCTAAAGCACCACTGCAGATGAACATACACTTTAGCCACTTTTGGTTTGATGAAACTCAGCTCTACTGTAGTAAGTGATGTGGAAGTCCCTCTGTTGTGTTTGAGGCTCAAAGCCATCTTAGGTGATAGGTCCTGGTATTTGTTTCCTTCTTTTATTTTAAAGATATTCATTCTAAGAGAGATGGTCCTTTCTCATCTCTTTCTCCATTCTCCAGGATGTTTGATGATAGATAAGGAGGTTCCGGGTTTGTATGGCAAAGGCAGACCAAGGAGTAGGGACAACATACCTTTAAAATGGTAACAGATTTTTTATTTTTATTTATTTTTTTGCTCTGTCATTTAGCAAATTGTGGGGGGTGATTTGGTGACAAAATCCATTGTTCACCTCAGCCTTTTTTTCCACTGTTCCTCTAATTATTTCAGAAGGTGCACTTTAGAAGGATTATATCCATCCATTCATTTTCATCATGCTTTATCCCAGCTGGGGCCGCAAGGGGTGCTGGTGCCTATATCCACCTTTCTACAGACGAGAGGCGGGGTACACCCTGAACAGGTCGTAAAAAGGAACCAACATACTGTCAGACAGTTTCCTTTTCCAGGCTGTCACTTTGTTAAATAAAATTCACTTTAGTTAAAGTTATTTTGCTAACAGGTTCCAAAAAAAAATAATATTATGATAGCTAAAAGGAAAAATGTGAAAATCATTTAACTTCATGAACTTGTATTACATTAACATAATGTGAATTCACCTAACTTGATAAGTGACATTCAGGCAGACAAACAGATTTCTCAGAATGTGTATTGACAACAGAACTGGAGCATCAGCATCTAAGACAGTAACAACTGCCGGTGGAGAGGGCAGTTGAGAAGGGAGTTAAAGATCAATCAAAACTCCCTAACGACCATTAACACTACTTGGCCAATCCAGTGGGAGGGATCGGAGCCACCTTTTATCCCCGCTAATTCTTTGTAAGACACTAATTATTTTGTTAGACCGGCTGTCATGACTCAGAACAGAGGACCCAGTATTCAAGGCACCTAGAGTATACTAATTTCAGTGGTTCCAACCACTACTTAGAACTGAAGAAACCTCTTGGATGAGAGGCAAAACCTCTTCTAGAAATCTTTCCATCCAGTTGCATAAACTGCACTTTTTTGAATTTGTCCATGACCTGGATGAATGAGGTGTCATCCAGTGCTGATATTGTTATTTCAATGACGGTTGAGCCTCTGATTGGATGGGTAAGTGAATCAGTTTATTCAATTGAATTTTTACCAGGCTTCATTATTATAATTTTTTACAAAGCAGAAAAATATTTAAAAAAAGATAAAGTTTAAGTGAGAAAATATGAATAAATGCAAATAGAAGCGCTTACGCTAGAACATTGCTCAGCTTTATTGTGTAATCCATTGAGCATCTTTAGTGCACATTAACACAACAGATATACACCTATACAAGATGATATGATAAATTCAATTTATAGATTAGTCTAAATCACTGAGATCAAAAACAACGAACAGTCAGCCTATAGTTTACAGATCAGTTTAACTGGTAAAGGCACAGCATTGTGAATTGTCAATTATTTGTGTATACAGTAACATAGACATTAGAAGAGAATAAGAAAACAGATGGTAAATGTGCTGATACAGTTCAATACACTTTTTAAATTTATAACAAAATTTTATTAAATTGATACTTTTCACAGGAAAATGTACAATATCCCCCCTAGAAGCTCTAGTCTACAATTCATATATTAGCTTTTCCTTTGGCCAGTTGTGTTATAATCCTCTCCAGTTGTTTTGCCTTGTCTTCATATTCTTTTGTAATGGCAATTTCCTTTTCAAGATATTCTATAATATGTTCCTTGATCTCATCAAGGTAGCTTTTCATTGCCTTCATTAATTCAGGTATTGACCTAAAGTTTGGCACTATGTGCATTATTGTTTCAGTCAAAGGCTCCATTAGCTGTGAAACACCCTCTAAGATCCTAGGAAGGAGGATCTTGTCCACCATCACGTCAGTCTAGGGGAAATATATTTATGTAATTATTATAAAAAATAGTAACGTGTGAAGTGATTTTGTTTCTATTTAACTTACTCTTCTCATCACTGCATCTTGTTGTATTTTCAGAATATTTTCTTGGATTTCTTTCTGTTAAAAGGTTACACAAAGCTTAACAACTAGAGCCGACAGACACAACAAAGATCATGGAGAAAACTGGATTGTAATCATAATCCTATTAACAGGCTGATTATTTATCATGTAAATGAAGCACAAAAGGAAATTACCATGTTGTCTTTATCAATCCATGAAGTTGCAGGACAGAGAAGATTTAACAGAATAAAAATGAGCAAAAGGTCTTTAGGTTTTCTGACCAAAGCTGCTCCTCTGCCACTACATGAAACTGTTGCTGCCATTACTGCCTGTAAGCATAAAAAATACAAGTCTAATACAAATAAATTCAAGAAGACACAAATTTTGAAATCAACATAATATACACATAGTGTTCCTTACTTTACCTCACAAAGGACCTGGCGGAGAAATCAAACTGTAAGAGACTGGATGACAAATAGCTTTTTGTAGTTCTTAGCCACTTCTGCCGATACTTGGCTTATCTCTGAGTTTTTATAAGCTATTGGATGCCTTCCATGAAAGTTTTAGATTTGACTTTGACCTAGCTCTTATCTCTGCAAAGAGAACTTACCTGTGTGATTTACTGTAACTTAGTACTGGCTGCACAAAACTGAGTGGTTTATATCTGCTGTACATTTGGACACTAATTTCTAAACTCCGTAAGTTTTACTGTAACCACAATATGTAAGTTGAAAAGAATGATTGCATGGCAGTTAGATGATAAGCTTTCCTGCCTGTACAGTTGATTAGATTAGCAAAGGACCAATGATCGTTCCAATTGTAAGTCTGCTTTAAGGCAAGTAAACATTGAGTTTTCAAGATCTTTGTTTATTGTTTAAAAAATTTACTTTGTAAGGATACATCTACCAGTGTCAACTTTACATTTTTTAAATATCGAATGGTATTTATATTTATTTGTTTTTGACGTTGTAATAGAAAGGGGGAAGACATGTCACAAGGTCAGGACTCGAACCTGTGACAGATACGATGAGGACCAAAGCTTCTGTGCATTGGCCTACATTTCATTAAATCATATTTCAGGCTTGCATTAGGGCTCATAGAACAGCAGATATGCCATTTTCAGCCCAACCAATGTTACGCACCCTATTCTGAGACCTTAGGGACAAGCACCAAACATCCTATATAATCATTCTGTGACCCCTTTAAGATACTAATTTAATTTCAAGTAAAAAAAAAACTATGTTGAATAGAAATACTGTAACTTAAAATCCATCACTTGTGAAAAATTTTGGATTTGTGTGCAGTATTGTTGGACCTGCTCTGGTCTGTCATAACAAATAGAGCTGTACTAATAATTAAAGAACTTAATTAACTTCATTAACAATTAAGGAAAAGGATCATTACAGAAAGAACAAGATTTCCAGTGCAGGGGGTCCAGTCATGAGACATCCTGTTTAGTTTGCAGCAACTAAACAGGATGTCTCACCTTGAATACTGGGTCCATCTTTTAATGACTTGCTCTGATGCACTTAGGATTTGATATCCCACTAGACTCAATTTTATGACACAAAGATGATAAATAATTCTGATATGCAATTACACAAATGAGTAGAAAAGTCAAAATCAAAATATCCAAATCATTATAATACTTATGTTAATCTCTGTAAGGTGTCTTTGGGCAAACCTCCTTTATACGTTTTCCCAAAAAAGTAAAAAAATCAATCCACTTGACTTGACTCAAAGTGTCAAAAATAGAGATGAGTTTGAGCCTTTATAGATGGACCAAGAATAAAAGCCTTCTTTTGGCTCCTTTATAGACATATCTAACTGGGGAGTGTTGACCTAGTGTGTTAGAGCAGTGTGCTTGTGCTCTGAGAAGGTTGCAAGTACCTGGTTTAATCCCCACAGCCTGCGCTCTGGGTTCCTGACCAAGACCCTTAACCCTTATTTGCTCCCTGGGTGCTGCACAATGGCAGCCCACTGCTCACCAAGGGATGGGTTAAATGCAGAGGTAAATTTCTTCGATGTGAGATCAATAAAGTTCAATTCTTATTTTTAAACAGTATCATTTTTTTATATATAGTGTTTACAATTTCTCTGTAAGGTGAGCACACCTTTCTTGAAAGTTAAAACAATAAAAGGACATAAACAGCAAAAAAACAACAGGTAAGAAAACAAGCAATATCAAAAAGCGTAGATTGAATGACTTTATTGATATCACAGAGAAGAAATGTACTCTTTACATTGGCTCAATAGTCAAAAAAGAGAAGAAGGTGCAAAAACGGAGGAAAAGGTGCATTGGGTATATTCAGTATATACAGTGCGTCCAATATATATATATACTGTATATATATATATATATATATATATATATATATATATATATATATATATATATATATATATATATATATATATATATATATATATATATATATATATATATAAACTGTTTTCTCACCCCTCAATGGGGTGGTAGTGCCATCCTCAAGCTGGGGTTCTCTACCAGAGGCCTGGGAGTTTGAGGGTTCTGCGCAGTATCTTAGCTGTTCCTAGGACTGAGCTCTTCTGGACAGAGACCTCTGATGTTTTACCTGGAATCTGCTGTAGCCACTCTCACAGTTTGGGGGTCACAGCCCCCAGTGCTCCTATTACCACTTGCACCACTGCTGCTCTTACTTTCCACATCTTTTCTAGCTCCTCTTTCAGCCCTTGGTATTTCTCAAGCTTCTCGTGTTCTTTCTTCTTGATGTTGCTGTCGCTTGGGATTGCCACATCTATCACTACTGCCTTCTTCTGCTGTTTGTCCATCAACACGATGTCTGGTTGGTTAGCCATCACCTGTTTGTCAGTCTGGATCTTGAAGTCCCATAGGATCTTAGCTCGGTCATTCTCAACTACCTTAGGAGGTGTCTTCCATTTTGACCTTGGGACTTCCAGCCCATACTCATGGCAGATGTTCCTGTACACTATGACAGCTACCTGGTTGTGGCGTTCCATGTATGCACTTCCTGCCTGCATTTTACACCCTGCTGTTTTATAATGTATTGTTTCAGAGGCATCTTTGCAAAGTCTACATCGGGGGTCCTGCTTGGTGTGGTAGACCCCGGCCTCTATTGATCTTGTACTGATATATATATATATATATATATATATATATATATATATATATATATATATATATATATATATATATATATATATATATATATATATATATATATATATATATATATATATATATATATATATGATGTCTTAAGTCTCTTATTTAGTAGTGTAATTCAGTCTTAATTTCAAATATATTTTTTATTTGTTCAAATTGTCAGTGATAATACGAACATGAGGGAACAAATTTTACAGTTAGAGATGTATGTTAAAGCAATTTTAAACTTGTGTTGGAATATATAGTATATCAACAGGAAAGAAAAACATGAAAAAAAACATCAAAGCATCCAAACAACAGTGAAACATTCTGAAATATTTAATGTCACAGTATGACATAGAATGTAATTAGGTTAGGTTCATTGTGCCCTTTTACATGTTATAATACAAATCCGTCTGAAAAAAAAGAAACAATTAAGCATAAAGAGAGAGAAACTCTTACAACTCATTATGCTGCACCAGTTGGATTTTTTTCAAAACATCAATAACCTCTTCGAGTATTTCCCTCATGTCCTTTGTTTCTACTGCTAACACTTTTTTCTTAAGGGTTAAATAAGTCCTACTAGTCTCAAAGACTTGCTCTAATGCACGTATCAGTGGATTATCCGCTTGACTCTTAATTGGCGCCATTTTCAGTTGTTGCAGTTGAGGGTACAGCTCTTGCATCTTCATGTTAAAAAGTTCTGTTGCAGCTGCAATTCTTGACTTGTCATTTTTCTGGTGACAGGAATAAGAATTTAGATGGGTCAAAGAATTTATAATAGGTAGCGATGGACAACCATCTTAATATGAGGATGCATCTAAACTTTTTACATAGTCAGTTCTTTACATTTATTATAGTGAGCAACAATGACATTAAGATATAGTGATATTTATTCCAAGAATTTATTTCTCTTTTTTACTATCAAGGCTTTTATCAAATAAAAACCTATAATTCAGTTCTTTATTGAAACTGAATTTTAGTCCAATTCAGTTTCTTATTGGAACTGAATTGGACAAAAGATTTGATTAAATTAATATCAACAATTGTTTTCAGTAAATAAAACAATTGTTTTTAGCTGAAATAAATTAAAAACAAATGTTTTCAGTTCAATTAAATGCTCAAGATTATGTTTGTACATTAGTGGGGTAGATTGACAATGATGAAGATGTTCAGCAGGACAATGTTGACCCTCTCTCTAGTACAAAGAAAGTCATAATTTGTGTTTTTTGCCTAAAAAAAAAAGAAATCAGGGAACCAAAGTGTTTGGCTTAGACAACAGATCTGAAATTAGAGGAATCCTAGTGCTTATAAACTATGAGCATTTATGACTAAAAACAATAAGCTAAGTGAAAATCTGTGTAATGATTCTATATATCCAAATAAATTTCATTTTTAAATATGAATATCTAAAATACTCAAATATACAATAAAACAAATAAACCCTTGGATATTTTCTTTCATTCCTGAGAGTCTGTTTTTGTTTTAAAAGCTTTTAAACCCACCTTTTGTTTATATGCTTCATTTACTGCTTCCTCAAGATTTTCCATAAATATTTCCTGAAACAAACAAAGGAGTTGGCCAAACTGAACTTCTGGTAGTAAATGCTTTACATAAAGAAAACTAAAAGTAGAGGGGCTATCTTTGCAAGACTAAAGATTATTTATTAACTTTCCAGAATAGAGGCTTATACGGAAATTATACTTACAAGTTCTTCCTCGTTACTTAAAGAGTTTGCTTCTTGTAAAAGTCTTGAGATGTTTTCAATTCTATTTTGTCTTTGTTTCTGAAAGAGAAAATGGATATGGAACTTTAACAACAAGCATGATTTACTATATTGCATTTATACATCAGTGCCAAACTATGAGACCCACCCGATACCCCACAGCTTGTTTTATCATGCCCTGAATGTACTCCTTGTACCCATCCTGAAAAATAAAAAAGGCAGTAATACACAGTAGCTGAAATATAGCATTATAGTTAAATCAACTGAATAATTATTTGCTTTGAAACATATTTGATTTAAGGTGGTGAAAGTTAAATAAAAGTCAGTTTACCAGATTATTCATGAAATCCATCGTTTTAACGGTGTTCACCAGAAACATTAAACAGACAGTGAGGGACAGCAGTTTGACAAGTCTGATAGAAGGCATTCCTTTTCTCACAAATTCTGCCATGATTTCTGCAAATGGAAACTGAGTGGCTGAGCATATGATATATAGAACAAAACAAAAACTTTGGTATTCGGAATCTGGTATAAGCTTTTTGTTGCAGAACTATAAAAACCTTACCTGCTGGACGAGTATCAATGTGGCTGATGACTGAGTAAATGATAAGCTGACTTGATAGCAATGCTTCAAAAGCTTAGTTGA